GTTCCGGGGCTTGGTGATGGACAGGGAGGCCTGGTGTGCTGCAGTCCATGTGGTCATAAAGAGTCAGACATGACTGAGTGACTGAACTGAACTGATTATGTATTCAAACTCTGATTTTATTCAACCAAAACAATTATTATAATTTATTCATATAGATATGTCATCTGAGAAAACACCAATTAAAATAACTATGGCTACAAGCAAGCACCAACCAATTTTGATGATCACATTCACATTTCCTGTATTTGCTGCCTTTCTCGAAATGGAGAGGAAATCTGCCTTCCCAATTGTTGTTTATTAAAACATAGCCTTTTCTGCAAAAGACATTACAATGTTAGTTCTCATTTGCTTCTGCTTCTCTGTATTCATGAATCACCTTGCTGTGAAGCAGTACTCTGTATTCAAACTTGAATCTACAGTCCACTGAAATAAAATAAATGAATGCACAGAATAGTTTAAATTTTTTTCTAAGTTCAGTGATTTTAGTAGCTTACTGTTTCCTAGAATTGTAATGGATTATTTTCTGATACTTTTTTAAATGGGTTGAGATTTTATGTACTTGTAATTAGTTTGACCTCATCCTATTTTAAATTTAATGTCACCTAAAATATTTACTAATATAAACAGTTACATTTACTGTACAAATGTACAGTTACATTTTCTAGAGCTTCCTTGAATTTGTGTCAATCTTACTATTGACTAGTTGAGAGCCTGTGACTGGAATAAACAGTATGGTGGTGGTGGCTGAAAGGGGAGAAGATAAGTGGACACAGGCAAACTCTTCTTACTTTGTAACTTCACCTAGACTTATCCAGGACCCTAATGGCCTTTGTATGGTAAAGCTTAGTTACCAGTCGATGAAGGTAGATCACTGAGATTAATTAGAAAAGTTGCAGGATATAAAATTAACACACAGAAATCCCTTGCATTCCTATACACTAACAATGAGAAAACAGAAAGAGAAATTAAGGAAACAATACCATTCACCATTGCAACAAAAAGAATAAAATACTTAGGAGTATATCTACCTAAAGAAACAAAAGACCTATACATAGAAAACTCTAAAACACTGATGAAAGAAATCAAAGAGGACACAAACAGATGGAGAAATATACCGTGTTCATGGATTGGAAGAATCAATATTGTCAAAATGGCTATACTATCCAAAGCAATCTATAGATTCAATGCAATCCCTATCAAGCTACCAATGGTACTTTTCACAGAACTAGAACAAATAATTTCACAATTTGTATGGAAATACAAAAAACCTCGAATAGCCAAAGTAATCTTGAGAAAGAAGAATGGAACTGGAGGAATCAACCTGCCTGACTTCAGACTATACTACAAAGCCACAGTCATCAAGACAGTATGGTACTGGCACAAAGACAGAAATATAGATTAATTAGAGAAGATGCTTTTAAAGAGGGAAGTAGGCTGGCAAAGCACAGCACTTTCAGACAGAATTTCTCTGGAACATCTAACTAGAAGTGTCTTCTTGGACAAGTCATGTAATCCCTCTAATTAGGAAGATGGAGATAATGCCTACTTTATACAGTTGTTATAAAGATTGACTGGGGAGCAAAGTACATGCCTTCCAACCTGAGGAAGAGATATGACTTTGTTATAGTTGTGATTATTAACATATTAATGGCTTGGCATTGATGCAGTCCTGTCTTTGGATTTCATCCTAACTCCACCATGGTAGGTGCTCCATCAGTTGTAGGGGCATAAAAGTTAAGCCCCTCCTTCCAACACTTTGCTTATGTAGATTCAAATAAGGATCCGTGACAGGCTTGGTTCTCTCTGACTTCTCTCCCAAAATAACAACCTTCCTACCATTCAACAGTATTTATATTTGGATAAAGGGCTAGAGCTGAAGTTACAGCGGAAACATATAGAGCAGGCTACAAAACAGGGCTGCCCAGTGTTGCACAAACAACTTTGGTGAAGCAAGGCCGAAAGCATTAAATAAAGAACACCAAAAATGACTGGCCCATGTACTGGTGGTGTTAGTTTCAGTCTTGGCAGACTAACATTCAGTGTTAGGCTACATGTTTTACCTTCCAAAGGCTTTAGAAACCATAAATGATTCATCTCTTTAAACTGTCCTCACTAAAGAATATATTTTGTTAATTTTATGTCATTAAAGAGGCTATTGAGCAAAAGAGTTTTAAAAAAAAAAAAAAAGATACACTATGGTTGTGATAAAAAAAAATAATAATAAAAAATATATACAAAGAAAAAAAAAAAAAGATTTAATGAGTGCACTGTGGAAGAGGAAGGTTATGGTTGTGTTTTAAAAAGTAAAACACATAGAATTCATATTCCACTGAAATTAAGTTCTCATAAATTATAACACTGATTCTACCGGGGAAATTAGTATAGGAAAATGATACTGTTCCCCTGATACATAACAGTAAAACACACACACACAGACCATCGTAGATCCATCTAACCATTGGCTTCTCCTACTTTTAGCACATAGGAAAATCTGAACTATGTAAACAAGTCAGCTAATTATCATTAAATTATTTTAAATATTATTTATCCTTTATAGAATTTTTTTTTTTGCAAAACTTTTCAGGAGAACATTTCCAGAAATGTTTTAGTGACTGTCTTTAAAGGAGTGGCAGAAGAAGGAAGGACAGAACGATTCTTAATGGTTAGAGGGTATCTTCCTGGAACAATGAAAATGTTCTGGAATTAGGTAGTGGTGATGGTTGAACAACCTTATAGACATACTAAAATATACTGGATTGTAAACTTTTTTAAAGGATAAATTATATCATGTATAAATTTACTCAATAGGAAGTTATGTATTTCTATTTTCTAAATGAAAAAATTTGTGCATGTGGAGACACAATCCCAAATTATCTCTAATATTTACCATATGACCTAAATACTTATTTCTCTTATGAAAAAATTCTATGGGTATTTACTAAAAATAGCATGCCAGCTCAATATTGGGACACAAATTCTCTATATTCCACAGCACTCATATCACTGAACATGACCAAAAAGACAGTCACTTAGTCATTATTTTTCAGCAGTATGAAATGAAAGACTCAAATTCTAGTGACACTGTGGTCCTCTCACTGGTCACTCATTTGCAGCTTTCACTATTTTATATAGGAAATCCAACTGATTTCCAATCACTAACACCAAAGTCTGCCAGAAGCACATTGCATTAATGAATTTAAAAATATTTTACCATTTCATTAAGTCTATCTAACTACATTATTTTGAAGAAGATTTCAAGCATAGTCTGATTTAATAGGCAGCTTAGTGCTGGTAACAGAGACAACTGGTAAAATCAGAACTAAAATTTACAACTTCTGACTAATTCATCTATCATGATGGTTCATTATTTCAATCAGCCTGTTTCTAATAAAATCAATATCACTTAATGCAAATCTATCATACTCACAGGTAACAATGTAGAAGTATCAGTGAAAAAGATAAAAGAAAGAAAAGCAAAAACTGATTCCTGCTACTGTCACGTTACCAATATAAAGTCCTATAGAGGACCCTTCTTCTTTCTACCTCCAAGCATCTACAAAGAAAACTGCAGAATGTTGGTACAAGCTTTTCATTATTAATACAACTTCAAGGAAGAACTCAGATTACCCCTCACCAGGGAAATTAGCTAGTGACATATATATATAACCCTTCCTGGTTCATACACTAGGTTAATACACTAGATGACGAGGTTAATACACTCTCATGAAATGGATTGGTTCAAAGTAAAGTTTAACAAAATTAAATATAAATAAGCTCCTGGGGGAATTAAATCAGTGAACTATGAAGTGACTTCCTGATTTTTCTCTAATAACTTGTCACTCTCACCAGGAGCACCCTACGTAGGGAAGAGTAAGGTACAGCAATGTCAGCAGAGCAAGGTAAGCATAAAAAACCCTGGAAAAAGTACCTTCTACTTTTCTCTCCCTCTTCTTCCCTCTTCCTTACTCTTCCTCTCTTTCTATCTTGTGTGTAGACACATGCGTAAGATTAGATGGCACTTATGTAGCCTTATCTGAGCTTCCCTAACAGCTCAGACAGTAAAGAAATGAAAAAAAAAAAAAGAATCCACCTGCAATGTAGGAGACCCAGGTTCGATCCCTGGGCTGGGAAGATCCCAAGGAGAAGGGAATGGCAGTATTACTGGATGGAGAATTCCATGGACAGAGGAGTTTGGCAGGCTACAGTCCATAGCGTCACAGAGAGTCAGACACAATTAACTGAATAACACTAACTCTACATACCCCTATATATTCTACAAATTTTATGACAACCCAGGTTTCATATGATACTATTTCTTGGCTTTTTTAAAAAGGCTAAGTTTCAACTGTTACTTTTAACAAGGACTTGAGGCAACTGTTAAAGTATAAATAATATAGATGCAATATTTTCTGTTATTAAATAAATTGCATAGAATCCATTTAATGATAGCTATGGATTCAAAGAGCATTTTCAGACATCAGAAGTGAACTGTATACAACAGATGCTAAAAGTCAGACAGCTTCTTCATTCAGTGGCATGAGCATCTTTTTGTGAATTAAGACCATGGCCGTCCACACTGGACTATTCTATAACAATGTGCACTTCTGTGGTTGGGACTGATAGCAAGCTTGTATAGGTCATTTGTATCATGGATTTTCTTGGTTATCTTGGCTGAGTGTGGACTATTCTTAACCAAGTTGGGAGGTATTTGTATCAAGCACTGTTAATTAGAGAAATGTCTAAGTTGATTACATATCTTTGCTACTAATATCACTAAACAGAATAGATTCCTCAAAGAAAAATTTTCTTGCTAGAATACAAGTACAACATTTTTAAGTGGAAAAGAACTGCCCAACCAAAATACAGAAGGGATTCTTCCTATTTTCATCATTTCTGAAAGCGATTTAGCTTACCCAGATTAAACCAATGATGGGTGAATATTTATTAATACAAAGCTTTAGTTTTGCCAAGAAAGTATTCACCATAAAAGTTATGCTTACATTTGCATTCCTTACAGCACTTGCCATCCACGTATGCGAGAGCCGACTTGAGGGGGCAGTCAGGATTTGGGCAAATCAGAGTTTCACACTGGATGGTTCCATTCTGAGAAGAAAACAGTATTTTAAAGAATTTCCAAGTTGCAGTTAGTAGTTTTCAAGTATTTTTAAGTTGTTTCTTAAATTTCAAATTCTTCACGTAAAATGTTATAAGTATCACTATTCTCTTTGGTAAAACCATAATTTTACAGTAAAATTACAGTAAAATCCATATATAGAGACCCACAGTAACACAAGTTGGGTCATCACACAGGTGGTGGTTGACCCTATCTTCTGCTCAGCAACTAAGCTAGAGGTCTTACCTCCTACTGTGAAGCGAGTGAGGACAGGGGTTGAAGGAAGGACACCAGTGGCAGGGAAACAGCAGGCTGAGAGCCAGCCTGGGGTACTCATGTCTCTCCAGATGACTCACAAAATGAGCATCAACAAACAATATTTCTGGAATAGCAGCTGCCATGCTGGAGACCCAGTTTCAGGATGCAAAAATCCTCCCAGGGATATTTGAGCTCAAACACACCACCACTGTGAATGGACACTGACGATCATCATAAGAGGTACAAACCTAAAGGGTACCTCAGGGAATTTGATTCCTGAAGGTCACCCAGAACACCAAGGTAGTTTAGTTGCTTTTCTAGTCTTTTCCAAAAAAATGACTATGACTTCATCACACTACATCTTGTATCTTACTCAATTTGATTTTTGGCACCCATTTTACAAGTTGTGAAGGTTTTACTATATTTGTGAAATGTAATGTTGGTAGGAATACGTTTCTAAATAGAAATCAGACAAAGTCTGCACACACACACACACACACACACACACATGGACCATTATTTCACCACTAACTTTGACCTTCTTAACATCATGATGTTCCACTTTTGAGTAAACTAGATGAACTTGGAAAAAGTGTTTTAGACCTCTGACTTCTTTACAGCTAACCAGTTCTCACAAATAGTCCATGTGGGGTTTAAAAGTTCAAAACCAAACTCATTTTGAACTTTTCTTTGAAAATGAACTTCTATATTTGAAATAATAACACACTAACCATTCTACCTTCCACCTTGGGACTTCCCTGGTGGCTCAGATGGTAAAGTGTCTGCCTACAATGTGGGAGACCTGGGTTCAATCCCTGGGTTGGGAAGATCCTTTGGAGAAGGCAATAGCAATGCACTCCAGTACTCTTGCCTAGAAAATCCCATGGATGGAGGAGCCTGGTAGGCTACAGTCCATGGGGCTGCAAAGAGTCAGACACGACTGAGCAACTAGACTTTCTAACCATTCTACCTAATTAGTGAACAATTCAAGAAATCATATTTATTTAAACTTTATAGTTTATATTCCACTGTATTAGTAAATTTTTAAAGCTTATTTAGACTCCATTATTTATTTATACAGCCAAATCTGGTCACAGTATTTCCTGTTGCATTTCATTTAGTTTTATCAAAATGCATTAACAAAAACATGAGGGGAAAATCCCTGGAAAAGTTAAGGATAACAGGATAGAATCCTCTGGGAATCCTTTTACTGACCCAATTTAAATCATTAACTTCACATGTGGACAATAAACTTAAAACTTTATAGCATTCTTAAACCACAATAATCTTTATAAGCTAGAAAGTGTCTTTAATAATGCAATACACGGTTCTTTAGATTTGACTGGGTTTGCTGGCACTTTAGTGTTGTGTTTTGAGGAAATGGGTCTTGAAATTTTCATGATGACATTGGTTTAATACATTTTTAAAGAGAAGGGGCATCTGAGTTCTATTAGTCTGAACTCCAGCAGAAGCCATACCAGGCATGTGCAGTTCTTACAGCCGTCTGTCCACGACTCGAATTCTCGGTAGGTGGTTCCCTTCATGGTGCAAGTCCTTTCACAGTAGCACTGGTCCAATCTATTCATTCGCTGCTCGGCTCGAGACAGCTGTGGTACAAAGGAAGGGGTTTGTATTGTTCAGCATTCCAGCGACGCAGAAAGGCAAAACACTCCAACAGGCATCTGACTGCTTTTTGGGTGAATAGCACGAACGATGGCTATGCTCATCAACTATCTATTATAAATATACTTAAGGCTTTAATTTATTTTTTCATATTTGTTTCCATTATGGTTTATGACAGGATATTGAATATAGTTCCCTGAGCCATACAGTAGGACCTTATTGTTTATCCATTCTGTATATTATATAATAGTTTGCATATGCTAATCCCAAACTCCCAATCCATGCCTCCCTCACCCACCTCTGCCTTGGCAGCCACAAGTCTGTTCTCAATTTCTGTAAGTCTTTTTCTGTTTCATAGATAGGTTCATTTCTGTCATATTTTAGGTTCCACATATAAGTGAAATCATATGGTATTTGTCTTTCTCTTTCTGACTTACTTCGCTTAGTAATGATAATCTCTAGGTTCACCCATGTTGTTGCAAATGACTTAAGCCTTTAATTTAAAAGAAAGGATTTTTCTCCTCTTCTTGTAGTAAATTTGCCTCCTGCCTTTGTGAGTGTGGCGGGGTGGGGTCAGGGGGAGGCTTCCCTTGTGGCTCAGCTGGTAAATAATCCTCCCGCAATGCGGGAGACCTGGTTTCAATCCGTGGGTTGGGAAGATCCCCAAAGGCAGCCTGCTCCAGTATTCTGGCCTGGAGAATTCCATGGACTGCATAGTCCATGAGGTCGCAGAGTCGGATACGACTGAGTGACTTTCACTTCACTTTGTGCGTGGGGCGTGGGGGAGCAGAGAAAAGTTTGCCGTGTGACTTACGATGAAACAGAAAAGAAGTCTAACTCAGAATCACATCATACACGATGCAGAGAAGCGTTTTCCATTTTTACAAATGTTTAGTTTCATGGCTGTGTGCTCAAGTGCAAACATAAATTTTAGACTTTACATTTGTCAGAAACAAATCATCCATATACAATGTAACTTCTAGGTCATCAGTATCTGCTATGCAACATAACTACAGCCTGGTGAAACTACAGGTAAATCTGACACATGATTAAGACAGCCAGTGATTCTACAATGGTAACACAATGGTAGAAAGCTTTTGTGGGACCATTTCCCTGACATAATTCTAAGGTCCATATTCTTTACAATGTCCTCTTGCCTCCTTCCTTGCAAAAAAAAACTAAATAATAATAAAAACTAGATTAAACAATAAATCCTATTGTAGTAAGCAGTGTAAAAACCAACTAATCTCCCTCATTTTTGATTTACTGAGTCATTTGTTATACAGATGGCTTGGGTTTGAATATTTATAAGCCCCTTCCTTGAGCAGGAATTTTGATTCCGTTCAGGGGATAAGAAAAATCTCAAAGGTGAACAACTGTAGTTATAAAAGAAACTGTAGGAAACCTCAAGGATCTGAGCTCCACTCCCCCACACTCTATTTCTAAGGAGCTTTTACCTTGGCTGATGTTTTGGCTAAAATGTCCTGCAGTTCCATGATTTTCTGCACGAGTCCGTGAAAGTCATTGCACGTTGGACAGGCTAGAATCACAAACACCGCATCGGTCAAGTTATATTTATAAGGAGTTCAATCTAGTTAAATCTATGCTGACAACTAATACATGAGAACTCCAATTGCAAACTGACATTTTGGACAAAATTAAGCAAGAAGCACACTTTTCATTACATAATGAGAGAACTAATGGACTTACTGCGATTGAGATCTGGGCACTGAGCAATAAATCCTTGGGGCATGACAAGTAATTGCACATCTTGCATTATGCCCTGTGTGTGAAAAATTTTGAAAAAGATGTATTACTTTCATCTACCCAAATTATGTTCAATAGTCAAGTTCATGAAGGGAAACATTACAGGATAGACTCACCGAAGTCCCTGAAAAAAATATTTTGAATACATGGCTTTGACTTCAAACCAAAGGGAAAGAAAAACATCAGGCAAAATAGATGATTGCCCATGTACTTTCTTATTGATAATATTTTTAAACCCTTAAGATTAAATGTCAAGATATAATTAAGAGGCAATAGTCATGTGTTTGGGGAAGCTATTTTTAGTTAGCCTGAAGAAATGCTCGAAAATGACCTTTAAAAATCAACCTGAAAATCACTTCAGGTTTCAGCAACAGTAAAACTGATACCAATTTTGAGTTAACTACAATCATCAAGAAGGAAAGAGAAAAACTAAGTCATAAGAACAATACTTATTTGAGTATTTCTCATTTCTCGGTTGGTTCTTTTAAAGTGAATTCTTCAATTTAAAAAGGACAAGACGTTTATTAAACAGCTAGAGCAAGACTGAGTAATGAGTTCTTGGGAATACAGAAAATTTAGCATGAAATTTTTTAAAATGCCAACTTGAAATAACATATTTTACACAGAAGTTCACATCACATGTTTATATGTGAAATTTACATTCATCCTTCCTCATTAAGATATAATTAGCTTCCAGTTCACAAGACTCTCAAAGCAATAGCCAAAAGGTAGCAACCTCATCAGACACTCCCTTTCATTCATCACTCCATTTTCTTCCTTCATCATCTTTATATATTTTAATTAATATTTCACTTTCTCCCTTTGAAAAATGCAAACAGAATGTTTAATGACAGAGGTGACCAAGACCATAGTACCAATATATTATTAAGACAATTTTGATGTACCTGCAAAGATTTACCAGTCAAATCCTTGCCTATATATCTTTTACATATTTAATCAGATTAATAGCATGGTACAAAAAGAGTGTCAGTTTAAATTATAAATATTTAAGTATACTGCATGGCAATTGCTGTATCTATTGTTTGTTTGGGGTTTGGATTACGGAGGCAACCTGTATATAACAATCTCCTATCATCCGAAATCATCAAAATGAAAGCAAGGCTACCATGTACAGTTCTATGGTTAGTGCAATGCCCAACTCTAGAGAATTACACATAACTGATGTGTGAGAAGGTTTCTGAAGGCACATCGGGCTCTAGGGGAAAGACTGCCATGATTAAATAGAAGGGAAACTTGATACCTGGAGCACAAATTTGCTATGCTTTATATGTGGAAAAAGTGGAGAAGGAAATGGCAACCCACTCCAGTATTCTTGCCTGGAGAATCCCTTGGAGAGAGGAAGCTGGTGGGCCACACACACTCCAGAGGGTTGCAAAGAGTCAGACACGACTGAATGACTTAGCACACCACGTGGGAAAAGAGCACTGATTTTTCAAGACTTGCAAACACGGGATCAAGTCTCCATGATTGCTTTTGGACAAGTTACTTAACCTCTCTGAACAGGTTTATGCATGTTTAACAGAGATTTTTTTTAAAAGGCCCTGCAACAAGACTAAGATTCAATGAAATAACATATTCAAAACACCTGGTTTCCAGATAACAGTTTAAGTAAGTTTTAAAAACACCTGTTTTTAGGTGGTTGACAGTGAAGGAGGTAAAGGGGATTAAGAGGTGAAACTTCCAGTTATATAGTAAGTCATGGAGCTATAACATTTATCATAAGGAACAGGGTCAATAATATTGTAATAACTGTATGGGGACAGAAGGTTACTAGACTTATGGTAATCATTGTATAATGTGTGCAAACATCCAATTATTATGCAGTTTACCCAAAACTCATTTTGCACATCAACTGTGTGTCATCAAAAAATTTTAAATTAGAAGCCAAATAAAGCTGAAGTCAGAATGTAAAAAAATAAAATAAAATAAAATAAAAACACCTGTTTTTTTAAAAAAGGTATTTATTTATTTATCTTGCTGCTTCGGGTCCTGGTTGCTGTGTTTGGGCTTCTCTCCAGTTGTGGCGCTCGGGCTTAGCTGCCCCACAGCGCATGGGATCTCAGTTCCATGACCAGGGAGGGCACCCTATGTCCCCTGCACTGAAAGATGGATTCTTAACACTGGACTACCACAGAAGTCAGGAAAGGTCAAAAGGAGACACCACATGTCCCACCTCCTCACTGGAATCCATCTTGGTTGAGTAACGCATGTGCCACCAGGAAAGACCCTGAGTCAGAATGATTGGCCAGAGACAACCAAGAAATTAATCCCATCACCATAAAACCCAAAACTGTGAGCCATGTGGCAGAGCAGTTCTCCTGGATTCCCTTACGCTCATGCTCTCTGCCAGGGCAACTCTTCTCAGTAAAGTCTCTTGCATTGTCAGCAAAAAAAATATTCTTTAATAAAGTAAATAAAAACATCTTTTGAGGTTTACAAATCTTTCTTAGAACACAATTTTCAAACTACTTGTACCTTCTCTACCTAGGAATCCATAAGTTAGACACATCACTTATCATCTTGTAATAAATAACTTCTGTATGATAGGTAGTGTCAGAATCACTGGAGGAAAATGACGACACTATGAGCTGGCAGTCAAGCAATTTTCTGAACCTTATTTCCTCATCCTTAAAATACAGAGTTAAATGGAATGTCCATTAGCTCCTGTGATGCAATTCTATGGAGTATATCTCTAAATAGAAAACAAGAAAAAGATATCAATTATAACTGCTTTCTAGCTTTGATAGATTTGTGCACATATTAATATATGTACTCCTTTCTCATTTTCAGAAGTACAAGGAGACTATGAATAATGAATATTGAAAAGTTTTAAACCTCTATTATTAACATCCCTGTAAAAGTATCATCAAAGGTTATATTTCAAAGTGGAGAGTTTATTTGTATATAAACATTTTAGATTTTTATTACTTTGAATGCCTAATTTCAAGAATATGTTAACTGCCCTGATTGAGCCTTGAGAGACTGATCATCTGTCATATCTAAAGATCAAATTCATTAAGAAAAAAAATAAAAGAGAATAGAGTTGACCAGCTAAATAAAATATCAGTATTAAAAAAATAAAACAGAAATAGAGACCAATAGGAAAAAAAACTATACAAATCTATTTATTTTGCTTACACCATAAAAAGCAAAACTCATTAGAAGCTCATTAGAAAGCATTTGTATTTACATTTTATATTAGTCAAAATATACCTTAAAATATCCATGCGCATTATTTCTCTGTCCCAGCCAAAATGAAGTGCCCAAGGGCAAGTCCGTGGAAGGCTTTTCCACAACTCTTTCATATATTCTACAAAAAAAATCAGATAAGTAATATGTATTAACCGTCACTTCTTAGACTCTTCGGTTTCCTGAACTGAGAACACTTCACTTACTTATTACAATCGACATGTAAAATCAAGTGGGAGGCACTGATGGCCAAGGAGAGCTTGTGCCACTTATCATCAGCCAAAATGTAAGGAAACACTTCCGTGTGAGGGTGGTGGCTGCCGGAGCGGTAGTGAAGTCTGACTTCATTCCGATGGCCACTGCTTTCCAGTTCCAGGTACCTGCACAGAGAAGAATCACATGGGGCCCATTGAAAACAAAGTTCAAAAAAGAAGGACATGACTTCCGTCTCCAAAAAGATGGGATAGAGATACTTTTCCTATTCCTCCCAGTAAGTACAACTAAACAGTATATCATAAAACATGCAATAAGACGAATCTGAGAGATGGGAAAAAAAAAAACAAAACTAGGGAACTCAGGGCCCAAGTAACAACAGAGTAGTCAGTGTACTGGGTATTCTTTTTGCCTCATGGATCTCAGTCTTGGAACTGAAGAAACCAGTAACGTGAAAATACCAATGGATGTGGACAAAACAATTCCTCCCAAAAGCCTACTCTTGCTAGCTAAAATACCAAAAAAGGAGAATCCCGTAAAGAGAAACATTTTTAGAGAACAACCACTCTATTCCAGCCAAACATCACAGGAAAAGCTGTGACTCTATTCCCCAAAGATGCCAGCAAAGGAGAAGTGCTAGATTTCCAGTCTTTTGAGGTAGGAATCATGTGAGCAACACCTCTGCCAGAGTGGTGTCAGCAAAAGCCAAGGAGAGACAGCCAAGAATTTAAACCCTATCAGCCAAGGTTAATGAGATGAACCATGGCATCAGTGGAGACCATGTTCCATCCCTAGTAACACAGCATACTGCCCTCTCATAGGAGGCCTGGTGGGAGTCAGAACTTTCACCATCACCCAGCAGTGATGACAGCATCCTTACCACAGTGTCTGGTAGAGACCATGGGGAGAGTTGGAGATTCCACTCCCCCATCCAGAAATAATAAAAGTTCTGCCTCAACTGTCAACCAGGCAAGTAGGGAACCTGGATTTCTAGCTCCACCTGGAAGTAACAAGATGACACCCACTCAGCCTCTGCCAGAGCAGTGTCAGAAAAACCTGATAAAATATGGAGTTTAAATGAGATCCAAGCCTCAGAACATTATACAAAAATAACCAGGTTTCAATCCAAGTTTGGAAATATGATACAGTGATATCCAGGCTTCAATCAAAAATCAATGTCATGCCAAGATTCAGAAAGATCTCAAATATAATGAAAAAAGACAATCAATAGATATCAACACCACAAGATGATAGAGATGTTAAAATAATTGACAAAGATTTTAAATAAGCATTGATAAAAAAGAGCAACTACAAATGTTTGAATACACTTGAAACAAATGAAAAAAAAAAAAGAAGAAGCCTCAGCAAATAAATAAAAGGACCAAATAAAGAAGAACCAAGGAAAAATTTAAAACTGAAAAAATACAATAGCTGAAATAAAAAGCTCAAGAGATGAGCTAAACAGCAAAAATGGAAGGGATCACAAAAGATTCAGGTAACTAGAAGATAGAACAAAAACTATCCAATCTGAACAGTAGAGAGAAAATATACTGAGAAGAAAGGAACAGTCTCAAAGACCTGGGAGACTAAAACAAAAGATCTAATGTTTTTATAATCAGAGTCCATAAAAGAGGAGAAAGAAGGTGAAATTGAAAAATACTTGAAGAAATGATGGCTGAAAACTCTCCAAATTTGGTAAGAGATATAAACTCACAGATTCAAGAATCTGTGCAAACCCCAAATAAGATAAACTCAAAGAAATACTGATCATAACTAAACTTCTGAAAACTAAACATAAAGAAAAAAATTGAAAGTAATGAGAAAAAAAATTGACAATTATGTATAGAAAAAAAAATTAGAATGGTCATGAATTCCCTAAAATAAACAATGAAAGCCAGAAGGAAGTGGCAAAATATCATTCATGTAAAGAAAGAAAAAACTATCAGCCTAGAATCATATACCCAACAAAACTATCTTTCAGAAATGAAGACGAAATCAAGGCATTCTCAAATTAAGAAAGAACAGGATAACTGAATCAACTTTTAAACATACATATGTTATGTTAAAAGTGCCTAATGGACATTCAACATCAGTGCGAAGAGCTGACTCATTGGAAAAGGCCCTGATACTTGGAGGGATTGGGGGCAGGAAGAGAAGGGGATGAGAGAGGATGAGATGGTTGGATGGCATCACAGACTCAATGGACATGAGTTTGAGTAAACTCTGGGAGTTGGCAATGAACAGGGAGGCCTGGGTTGCTACGATACATGGGGTCGCAAAGAGTTGGACGCGACTGAGCGACTGAACTGAACTGAATGGACATTCAAGAGGACATGCAGGAAGGACAGCTAGATCCACAAGTCTGAGATGAAGACAGGTTCATATGGAGACAGGAATTGGGAGTCATAAACATATAAACTATATTGAAAGCCATGAAGGCACTGGGATTACCTAGGGAATTATAATAGGTTAATGACACATTAACATTTTGAGGAAAAACTAGCAAAAGAAACCAAAGGCTGGTGAGAGTAGAGAAGAAAAAATGTGAGAGTCCTGTCACTGTAACTAAAAATCCGATAAGATACAAACTATCCATCGGCTGCAAAGCGTCCAGCATGACTGGATGACTGAACAACCACAACATACACTCATAGGGGAATCCATATTCTGGAACATTAGACCACCCTCTGAAAGAATGAAATCCTGACATGAACAATGCCATAGTTAATTATTAATTATATTAATAAAAGCTCTATAGAATGTCATTTAGTTTGAAAAAACTGTGTGTGTACGGGGAAAAAAAAATCAAGGATATATGCCAAAACGTTAGCAGTAGTTACCCCAGGGGAGTATAATTTTGGAGGAAAGGATGTGAAGAATCTCTCAAATATTTTTATAACCCTGAAGTTTCTCCTTCTTCTGTAATGTAATACTTACTTACACACATGTATAGTAAAGTTCTATGTTAAGATAAAAAATTAAGTATTCAAGTATATAAAATACGTGTAGAAATTATTAAGGATAAATAAAACACCAACTTGTTTGGGTTTTGATACAGAAGAAACCAGAGAGTCCTTTCTATCTTATTATTTGGAAACAAGCATTCATCACTTAATCAACTCAACTAGCGAATTCTATAATGATAGGTAGGTGTTTGCATCTTAAAAGAAAATAACATCAGCAAACACATCGCCCTCTTGTTATACACCTTCTGTTCTTTCACCACACAGAGGCAAGAACTCTACCACTGCTGTTGGTCTGGTCTCCTCCTCTAGATACTAGTGGAACCTGTATTGCATTCCTAAACTTGAGGCACTAAAATTATCCTTAATAGCACAAAGGCTGACACTATGCTCCACAAACAAGAACAACCCTTAAGAAATTAAATATTTTACCAAAACTTACATTTTTATCTGCATCATTCACTCAAGTTTTTTAATGAAACAGATATGTAATACACATAAAAAAATACAGTGAAGACAAAAATAAATAATGATATGAAACAGAAGTGTGTCTGGCATGTGGTAAGTATTTAATAAATATGATTAATTTGCAAAACTGCACCTGTCCTCCACTCGGTGGCATCTAAGTGGGAAGCCCTCCTCCCCACTCCCACCACCTCAGCAGATCAGTGTGGTTCAACACCCAAATCCTAAAGCCTGACCTCCAGTTCACATCCTGGTATCCCTCTGGCAACAGTAAGCTATTCCATCTCTCTGTGCCTTTATCTAGTTACTCAACTAGAAAACAAGGATACTACCTGCACTTGTCTCAAAGGACTTCCATGAGAACTGGGATGAGTCAGTTTAAGAAATCACTCAGAACACTACTCAGCACACAAAACACATTGGTTGTTTTTCATTTCAAAATGTACTTAGCCTCCAATTAAAATAAATCAATTAAAAAAAAAGTAAAAGTAAAATCCTCCCTGTGGTACAGCCAGAGACAGCCCTAAGACACATCCTAGCAATCTGACACTCCATGGGCCTGGGGATCTGGATGAAGCACAGCGAGGAAGAGGGAGGAGAGACTCCCACACTGCTGTAGGACCCTGCATTCCAGTAGGACACAGCATCCCAACTGCTATATTAAGGTCACTCTGCACCTTGCTTCCTGTTTGCTGGCCTGCCAGGGCACCTTTGCTTATTGCCTGCTCCAAATTCTGGTGCCTCAGCTTCCCATGAGTTCTGTAAACTGCCCTCCCTACCCACCACCTCCAAAGTCACCTTACAAGCAAGAACTTCTACTAGTACATTATAACTGTGGCATGGGGAAAATACATAATTGGAATAAAACGTATTAACATTTTTAATAGCAACTGAGTGCTAGAAGTATGTATGATTTTTAACTTCCTTTGTATTGTGCTTTATTTTCTCTCTTACATTTAATGAGCATTTACTACTTTAAATTAAAATCACATTTTAAATTCTAAGAAGATAATTTGTCACATTTCACCATACCATGTCTCCATGATTTGTCATTCATAACTTCGAGAGGTAAGTAAAATCAGAAATAAAGTTCACTCTTTATAATAATGTATGCCCTTGTTAATCAAATATTCTTTGCAATGGCAGAAATATAAACTGAGATTAGGCTATGGAGAAATAGGCAACAGTGGCAGGACATCATTCATTTTAACAACCTCCTTCATAACTCAAGATTAAAGGATAAAAATAAAGTCATGTCTCAACTGACAAAGAGGTTACACACAACACGAAATGAGAATTTTTTGCTGCCTTAAATTAAAACCTAAATAGAAAAATGATCAGATCATCTCATTAAGCTACAACTCAGTTGTAAATTAGTTATCTGAAGAAAAGCCACAAGCACTTCTAGCGTCAACTATATCATTAGTGTGGTTCATGAACGGTACAACTGCAAAGGGCTGATGTGCACAGGATTTGGAACTGAAAACCCAGCTCCACCTCACACGACTACCCATGACCTGACTGCTCACTGCCGCAGTTCACTCATCTGTACAATAAAGATCCAGTGGCATAATCCATATAAAGCGTGGCATCAAAAACAGAGAACCCAATAAGTGACAACTATTTTTATTATCTATCAATAGTCCCAATTAGGCATCATTTATAAAGTCCAGCGTTTTATAACCAATTCTGTGAATAACAAGCAATCTGAATACTTTTTTAAAAATATTTTTATTGAG